TGGCTCTACCACTGTTCAGACTGTGTGCCCGTTTGTCATTCTTATTTAAAAAAAAAAATATGCAAGGTAAGAATAATATGGAGGGCTTTTTTCAAATCTTTTCATCTTGGGAGAAATAGATACTTAGGTTTGTTCAGCACTACACTATTAAAGAGTTCAAGATGATGATAAAACTAGGTTATCCAACCATACTAAAGCAGTGTTTTGTTTTAATATCAGTTCTAGACATTTCCCCATTCGTCTTTCTATACCTTCTGACTATATTATATTATCAATCTACAATATGTTGTAAATGTTATTTAGTACACTTTATAACACATAACATATTGTGAATGAGTTTTATAAATAACTTATTGATGATAATAGACGGTAATACGTTGTGTCATTCAGAAATTTATACGGAACATGTACGGAACAAACCAGAACAAACAACATACGTAATACCGAAATTGTCTCGACCTGTTTGTGATATAGTACACTCTTCGTTATCACGTACATATAGGGAACTTAAAAAACAGAAAAAAAATATTAAACATATTTATTACTAGATTTTACTCGCAAATTCATCCGAGTAGAATTTTTTTATTATATAGAAGAGGGGGCAAACGGGCATGCGCCTCACCTGATGATAAGTGACTACCGCCGCCCATAAACAACTGCAACACCAGGGGAATTGCGGATGCGTTGCCGGCCTTTTAAAAAGGAGTAGGCTCTTTTCTTGAAGGTCCCGTCGCCCCGTTTTCTTGAAGTCGAATCGGTCCGGAAAAATCGCTGTTGGTAATCGGTTCCACAAGGAAGTTGTGCGAGAAAGAAAACATCTTCTAAATCGCACAGTGGTGGATCGCCAATCATACAGATGGTGTGGATGGTATCGGGAGACCTGCCGCGATGTGCGTTCGTGAATAAAAAGAAATCTGTAGATCTATAGTAATTAATTGTGGCCTTAGTCTCAGGTCAAGTATCTAGTTCAAGAATCAGAAAACCACTTTAAACTAATTATTTTTGCATATTTTTTTTACATCTGTTGTTAAACGGTGTTGAAATAAAAAAAAATTAAATCTATCTTGAATCAAAAGTTTAAGAGATTGAAGATAAAGTGTTAGGATCTTTAGTGTATAAAACGTCTTATATTTTATGAGATAATCATCAAAAACTTTCATAACACATTTCATAACATAATACATAATCATTAAAAATCAACAAACTTGTTCGCCAGAGAATCTTTACTTAACACAGGTCATCGAGTAGCTCGGTCTAATTTTACTCGCTCACACTGAAGACTGAAACTGGTTTGGAGAAGAGTACTCTTTATTGAGGAGTCCCGATTTAGTCTTAAGCGAGATCATCATATGAAGATCAAACTATGAAGACGACTCGGAGAATGATACGCCCTGTGTAACATTTTGTGAAGAGAGCCTGATGGTGGAGGGCCAGTAATGTTTTGGTCTATACATTGATGAAAATGCTCAATCCGACACTGCAATGATTGTTTCCGAATATCTTAGAGATCTTGAAATTGAAGTTTTGGAGTGGCCAACCCGCTCACCGGACTTAAACTTAATGGATATTGTTTGGGATAAACTGGGAAGACAAGTAAAACAAATAAAGCCACAACCTGCCAAGCAGGAATCTAATACTACATAGTTTTATTGAAGATTTAAAAAAGTATGCCCAGTCGAGTGCAGGAACTTTTGGCAGTAAGAAGGGGTAACATTTAATACCGAGCTTGCCAAAAAATAGAAAAAAAATGCTGCCGTTTGAATAAATTTCAATTTTCTCTGTAAATTCAAAAGTGATAATTTATCTTAAAACTACCTACATTTCTCTTACCTACATTTATCTTTCTCCGGTCGTGCCGGATAGCCGTCTACCGGACTATGAGAGTAAGAGATTGGAGAGCGCACCTGTATTTGCGCAAACACTCGTGCAATATCATCTTGTCATGCGCAGATTGGCAAGTCTCCGTTGAGACCGACCGCAAATTTTTTTTTGCGTCTGATTCGTTTTCAATGCGTTTTTGTTCAGCAATGTTCATTGTATATAATATAATTTCAATCAATTCCTCAATAAACACGATTAAAGCCGTTTTTATACTAATGATGTTAATCTTTTTGCGTTCATCTAAAAATGACCATTAGTGTAATGGAATAAATGTTATATTTTAGCATTTAACACAAAACATTTATAGGAACACGAAGTGGTGAATTTTTTTACGGTTTTCCGTAAACGGGCGTTTCCTTTTCGAATAAAACTGTGTAACAATTAATTAATTTATCAAATAAAAATCCTTGTCGGCCAACTCAACATATTTTACCGTTACTGTTAGCTCATCAAAACTCCACTTCTGAAAATAGGCCTGATATGACCCCATAGATTGTCTCATAGGGAAATTTAGTCACAAATGGGGATATTTAGCACAGTTGCTACGCTTTGACAGGTGGATTTTGACAACCGCAGGTTTTAGTTTTTAGTTTTTTTTAGAGGACGCTGCTGCCCATTTGTTTATCTGGTTTGTCTGGTTTCTTCAACACAACATAATGTTGACGCAACTATTAATTATTACTTTATAATCTAGACAAGATAATATATACAGAACTTATAAGTTCTTGCACCGATTGTAAGCTATAATGATTAAGTGGAAGTTACGTAACAAAGTTAACTTTCTACGATTTCAAATGTCCGGTTATAAATTTATTAGATGAAATCAAATCATGTTAATTATAATCGATTTCAAAAAACAAAAACATTGGACGCGTATGTTTTTTTTATCTATGTTCACCGATTATTTGAAAAGGCTGAACCGATTTGAATAATTCTTTTTATTAAATAGATTTACAAAATAAATTTTCATAACATAAACAAACTTCAAAACTAAAAAAAAAAATATTTTTTTAATTTAGTTTTGAAGACGGTTTGTACTTTTTGTAAAAAGTTTAATTATTTTATTTGAGTTTGTTTTGCGTGTGTACTTTGTTTGTTTTTTCTTTAAACTCGTTAGTCCCTTAAATAAGCAAGTGGTAAAATTAAACAAAAAATTTGAAGACGTTTAAAAATAAAAACAATAGCAAATTTCTGAAACGTTTACTACGTTATAGGAAAACATTCCCCTTAAATCGTAGAGTATATATTATATCAGTTTTAAATATTACTTTTTAATATTTATTCTGGATCTTTCCACTTTTCATATTAAGTTAATTAAGTTCCTCTAAATAAAAAATAAACATGCGTGAGTGTCGTGGAACACGCGGTTGAAACAAAGTTCCTTTCGTAGTATATTATTATTGATTAACAAATACAAATAAATTAATTACTAGCGTCTATTAAAATTAAGCGTCATTTAAAATGAAATAATATTTCTTTTATGGCAAGATAAGAAAAAGTGCGAGGGAGATGGATATTATTCCATCTCGCTTCCTTATAGCCGCCAAGGCCGTCTAAGGGGTCGTGACGGAAAAATCTTACACTTTTTGTCGCCTAGCCCCAACTCGCCAAATCCGTACCGTCCGATAAGGAACTTAGTTCCAATAAATCTACGAAAAAGATTGATCTATATGTGTCGTAAAATTACTGCGCAGTTTTTGGAGGCTTGGAATGTATAGTGAATGATTTCAAATTTGGAAACCTCATTTTAAACGGCAATCAGGACATTTAGACTCTTGCACGGATATTTTACTGTCGTTACTTGAACTCTACGTTTATACGGCGCGCTCCCGTTTGTTTCATCACAGTTTTCTTCCAAAGCTATGTAATAAAGAAACTATGTTATACTTACTGATTATTACTACCAATACTTACTATTCCTTTTTTAAAAATCTATTCCCTCTGTTAGAATAATATAGATAGATAGATATAGACGTAGTTAAACCATGCTGCAACTATATTATGGTTATAGCACTAATGGGTTGGCTCGACGGGGTGACACCACGCTATACGAGCGTGTAATAGCAACGTTATGGTGCTGTGTTCCGTATGGTGAGTGTAGGGATCCGGAGGCCTTTTTACTGGAAACGAGGCGTTCCTTCTTAGTTCTCAGGGTGACAACGCATCTGCATTTCGATTCTTAATCGAGGATAGATATTTATGTGTACCTATATATGTGCCCTATTTCTATAAAAAAAAATTAGACTTAAAGAAAGCTAGGAGCCGTGGTAGCTCAGGGGTTAAGCGCTCGCTGTACGCCAACGCGCATTGGGGCAGCGCGGCGGACATATCCTTGCCCTAAAACCCTTTCAGAAATGGGAGGAGGCCTGTGCACAGCTGTGTAGAAATCTACATTTTTTTCTTAGTTAAGAATCAAAATGCGGAGGATTACGATGGTATGCCTCGTTTCCAGTAAAAAGGGTCTCCGGTTCTCTACACTCACCATACGAAAACACAGCAGTGTCAAGCTCCTATTTGACGCTAGTATTCGGTGAGAGCGTGGTACTTCCCCGGTCGAGCCGACCCATTCGTGCTACAACAAATAATATAGCTGTTGCGTGGCTCTACCACGTTTTAAAATTTTAGTATAATTACCTTCTCAATAGGAATTTCTACCGTACAGAATAAGTACCTAGTTGTGTGGTGTGGGATTTGATCTCGCGGCCCGCAACGATGCAGCCATACTTTAAAATACTGTGCTACCGAACTGCCAAATATTTCATTTCTGCTAAGTATTTAAGCGCGCTGATGGTCATCTTAAAATTATGTGTTAAATAAACAACAAAGCGTTAACGTAACACTTAATAATTTATGAAACAGCGATGTCAATTTGCTGTGTATCCAATGATATGTACATATATTATATATAAAAAGGTGTGTATTGAGTAGACTTTACCCTGTGCGCTGATAGAATCTTTGGAATGAAATCATAGCTACATCAAAACTTCGATAGATAAATATTTTCACATGTTTGTCCATTGCGCAATGCAATGATATACACCTTTATTGAAACTGAAAATAACCAAATAGTCACACCTGCGTTTGAGTTAGATTAATTTCGGATTGTCTTTTGTTTACAGTTGCTCTGGTCCTTCTGCGGATGTCTACTGGTGTCGCTTCTAGTCGTGTTTTTCTATTACTATAAACGATGGCGCTTAAAAGGTGAGGTGACTTATTAACTACATGCCTAGTTTGTTATATCATGCATTGGTCATCATGGTGCATCTCAAACTAGTTATTGTACGTGTGCACGTACAATAACTAGTTTGAGATGCGATTAACCGAGGTAATAATATTTAAATATGATCTCTTAACATTCTATCTTTTTTATAACAATAGAGTGACACGCGTGAAAATATACATGATGATATTGATTAGTGACTTGAAGTAGAAGAGAGAATTTGAAATAAATAATCTTAATTTATTTCTCGTATAATCTTAATTCTCGTAACGAAACTAATTATAATATTTTTTTAGAATATTTTTTTTGTATAATTGTTATGATTTATTTAATTAATAAATTAATTTTGAAACGAATTGTTCAGAAAAACAAAAAAAAATTATATTGACCTTGACTTAAAATTATATTGATCATAGATCTGACTAAGTTGGCCCAATACAATGTCGGGAACTGAGGGGTTAATATATTTCAAAGATAGATCTTCGCCACTTGTTTCTTTCATTCATTACAGCTACTCACAAGTACAATGCTAAACATAGGCCTCATCCAAGCAATGACCAATGACACAAAGCACGGTCCTGAACCACCTGCATCCATCGACTTCCTGTATATCTTACCAGGTCGCATCTCCATCTAGTGGTGGGCTGCCCTACACTTCGCTTATCGGTACGAGCCTGCCACTCGAGAACCTTTCTTCCCCATCGGTTGTCGGTTCTTCGAGTTATATGACCGACCCGTTGCCACTTCAGTTTACTAATCCGTTGGGCTATGTCAGTTACTCTGGTTCTGGTGTCTATCTAATTTCTAAGTCTATCACGCAGAGAAACTCTAACCATAGCCCTGACCTTGAGCTTGTTTATGTAAGGTAAATTGCTTTAAAGAAGGCGTGTTATTTTTAATAATTATTATTATCTTTAGAGCTCACAGGCGGCACTTGTGCTACGGATGCGGGAGGAGAACCTGCAAAGAGGTTCCGCAAACGAGACAAGATGCTGTTCTACGGACGGCGGATGCTGCGGAAGGTCAAGTCTATCTCCAACTCCGGCCAGGGCCGAAAGCGACGCGCTGTTATGCGTTTCGCCAGGAAACTTCTTCAACTGAAGAAGGAGACGGTTCCTGAACAACTTAAGGCATGTATTCTATCAATATAATATCTATTGTTTCTTTCGAATAAAATAGGTCATCATCATATCATCATTACAGCCCTTTACAAGTCCACTGCTAAACATAGGCTTTCACCAAGGAATGCCACAAAGCATGGTCTTAAGTTATTCATCGAATTTCTGCATGTCTATCAGGTCGTCACTTCATCTACTGAGTAGACGCCTTATACTTCGTCTACCGGTACAAGGCTGCCATTCGAGAACCTGCTTCCCCATCGGTTATATATCTAACCGTGTAGTGGCGGTGTAAGAATTTTCACTACCATAATATCTTCCTGTGGCAGTCGTTAGAGGCGACTGAGGGTAACTGAGACAAGAGATTGGCAGCAGCATCTTTTTAAATACAGCAAAATAACAATAAAAAACTGCGGTTGCTAACTCGCTCGCTAAGCGTGGCAACTATGGCAATATGGATATTTTGAAATAGGTTCACTTAAGTAATTTCCATTGATATTTATATTGAGTTTCTAAGTCGGTAAGTTAAGTTTAAATTCAAATCCATTTTACGGATTTTAATGCGTTTCATTTAAATTTTTAATGTTTCCGCAACAAAGGTCACTGGTCATGTTTATATTTATTAAATTTATTTAACAATTTAAAGGTTCTACGTGGTAGAGCCACGCTTCAGCTATTTTATGGTTGCAACACCACGAATGAGTCGGCTCGACTAGGCAACGACCAAGCTCTCACAGAATACCAGCATAAAACAGCAGCTTAATGTTGCTGTGTTTCGTACGGTAAGTGTAGCGGAAGACCTCGATTAAGAATCAAAACGCATCTGCATTTCGATTCTTTATCGAGGTTAGATGTAGGTGTGTATGGAGCACAGCATCCACTTACCATCAGGCGGACTGTGCTCATTTGTAACCCTATTCCATTTAAAAAAAACTTTGTTAATTTTAGTCTTTGGTTTAAAGAAGTCTTTGTTTCGAAAGATATCCTTGAAAAAGGGCCATGGCGCCACGCTGTCGATATCACGACACGTGTTTCGCCTATAAACGAGGCATTTGAACTATATTAGTTTGCTACAATTATAATATATATAAAAAGGGTCAGCATATTATATAAAAAAGCAGTATAGGCAATCAATGTAGTATAATTTACTGTTATCATCAAACAGAATACCACTCACTTTAAAGTACAATATATGTTTTACTCAGACACTAAAATATGAAAGAATATAATAGCTATAAGATATTTGCAGGTGTTGGAGCCCCCGGCGGAGTATTTGGAAGAAGACCTGACTAACGACGACCGAGTTCCACCGGACGCTCTATATATGCTGCACAGCATTAGAGTGTTCGGTCACTTCGAGAAACCTGTTTTTCTCATGCTTTGCAAGCATACAGAAATAATTAATTTGCCCGCTGGCGCATTTTTATTTAAAGTTGGTGAGTATTTATAATTTAGTTTTACGAGTATCGGTCTTATTACAAACCGGGCAACCACCACGCTTTGACAGAATATCAGCGTAAAATAGCAGCTTAGCGCTGTTGTGTTTCGTATGGTGAGTGTATAGAACCGGAGATAATTTTTACTGGAAACGAAGCATTCCATCTTAGTCCTTGGGCGGACAACGCATCTGCATTTTGATTCTTAATCGAGGATAGATGTAGTTGTCTATGGGCCACAGCAACCACTTACTATCGGGGGGACAGTGTGCTCGTTTGTTACGCTTATTCTATAAGAAATAACTTTGTTAATTATTTGTAGTCTTTGCTTCGAAAGATGTCCTTTAGCCATGGCGCCACGCTGTCGATATTACAACACGTGTGTCGCGTCTAAACAATGTATCATGAGGACAAATTTGACTTTATTAAAAACAAGTGGTAAAATAAAAAATTTTGTACAACCGATAATGAGAACATCATCTATGTAGTCGAAGTCAATTAAACACACATTGTTAAGGATAACTCAAAAACTACTGGTCAGATCTTGTCATCAAATTTATATGGGACCACATGAGAAGCACCAGTTTTCAAATAAAAAAAGAATCATCAAAATCGGTTCACCTAGAAAATTGTCCTGATTGATTTTTTTGTGTTACAACACATAAAAATTTAAAGTCAAATTGAGTACCTCTTGCTTTTTTTGAAGTTGGTTAAATACAAATAAGCTCTACGAAGGCTGACTGCTAAGTGACTCATGATTCTATTAATTAATTTTTGTCTAATAATCAATCATTAATTTGCCATTAATATTAAACCGTGTAGTGGCGGTGTAAGACTATCCACTACCCCATATCGTCACGTGGGTGTCGTAAGAGGCGACAGAGGGAAACTGAAACAGGAGATGGGAAGCAGCATTTTCATGATAACAACTTAAAATTATAAAACCCGCCTGCCAATTGTGGCAACTATGGCACAATCCTCCCTATGTGCTTCATAGGAAGAATTTCGATCTATGGGGGAAGTCTATGTTCCGCTGTGGACTTTAATAGGCCGTAATGGATGGATGTATCATTAATTTGTTTATTATTTGTAGGGGATACTGACGAAAACGTGTACGTTGTACAGACGGGCCGCGTGAACGTGTACATAACCAATTCGGATGGTAGCAGTTTGTCCCTCAAAGTCGTACGCGCGGGAGAGAGCGTCACATCTTTACTCAGCTTCACCGACGTTCTGACGGTGAGAAAAACACACGCAGACAAAATTGTTTGGCACTCATACATGCTTATTCACAATTCCAATGTAGCCGCTAGATCCATTGCATAAGATTTACAATAATATAAATCGACAATGAATATCCACATTCTGCAGAAAATAGTTTAGCTTGAAAATAGAATGAAAAATTATTAAGGCACAGAAACTTATTGCAATAAAAGACGTCACTGTCCTCATCTGACTAGATTACCAACTTTTTAGCTTAGAGCTCATCAGTTGGTGTGCTAGTGGCAATAATTAGCAAATATTGCCAGATTTATACGTGGTAGAGCCATGCTGCAGCTATATTAATAGTATAATAATCTCCTCGACCGATTTCGGCCACGGCGACCTCTTCAGCTCCGATCCTGTCGTTGGTGTGCTCGTGCATGGCTAACGTAGCCGATCTTATTTATAGTATAGTTGTAGAACGAATGGGTCGGCTCGACCGGGGAAGGACCACGCTCTCACAGAAAACCAGCGTAAAATAGCAACTTAACGCTGCTGTGTTTCGTAAGGTGAGTGTAGAGAACCGGAGACCCGTTTTACTGGAAAAGAGGCATTCTATATTAGTCCTCACGGCTGACAACGCATCTGCATTTTAATGCGCAAACGAAGATAGATGTAGATGTCTATGGGCCAAGGAACCACTTTGCTCGCTTGTCACCCTTATTCTAAAGGAAAGTAAACCATCAAGTAGCAGCCAGTTCATCGGTTGCAATGTGCTACCGGAAAGTTGTTGTATTATATATAAGGGCTATGTTACCTACTTAACGGTTAAAATACTAAAGGTAGAGCTCGCTGAAATATTACCTTTTAAGAAAAAGTAAAAACTAACTTCAAAGAACTAAAAATATTTTTTTTTAATTTACACTTAACAGTTTCAGAAGTCGGTGTTATAGGACATAAACATAGTCATTTATTCCATAGAACAATATAGAGCATAGAGTATAGAGAATTAAAGCCTCAACCTTAGAAGGTGGTACGTGGAATTATTTTATTATTTTTAGCTCTTTGAAGCCGGCTTTTACTTTTTATTAAATGTTTTTGGCCCTTTTGAATGGAGTACAGAATATTACAATTTCAAGGTCATTTTATAGTTGCATTAAAAACTTCCCTACTATTTTTTCTACCCTGGAGGTTGAGTTTTTTTCTCCAAATTTATACGGAACCTCAAGTATAAACTATAAATCGGTTCACAATTTACGGTAATATCGAGTGCCTAGCATACATACCAAGTAAGGATATTTTTTGTACGGTACGGTAATCACACACCTGATGGTGAGTGCTTACCGTCGCCCATGAACATCAGTTACACCAGTGGAATTTGAAAAAGGAGTAATCTCTTTCTTGAAGGGCCCTAAGTCGTATCGATCTGGAAAAACCTTCGGCGACAGTAAATTCCACAATGTGGTCCTAAACATGAAGCTAATACAAAGGGGAGACGGCATAAGCAACTGTGCACTGTGATTCTAAGTAAGTCCTGACGTCATCATAGTGGGCGTGGCTTTAGTTAGTACACTGTCAGCATTCGTCCTGTGCGCTTATGTGTTGACAAAATCGCAAATCGGTGTATTTTCGTAGTATTAAGAAGAAAAGGATGAAGTGTTGTGTTTTATTGTGTAAAAACTACTCAGATAGACGCTCTGATGTTATGGAATGCATCACATTTCATTTGTAAATAATTTTACACCTAATTTATTAAAATAGTTCTAGAAAATCTCTTTGCGTCGGCTTTCTAATATAATTAAATATATTCGACACTAGATGGCGACACTTTGTGTCATGTGAACTAAAAATATAAAAGTCCGTAGAGCTCAGTATTCGTAAAATAATCATACGAAGGTGCTGAAATTTGTTTTACATTCAGACATTAACAAACTTTAATCGCAAAATATTATTTTTATAGTTTATAATCATTTTGAGAACAGGCCGTATTCTCGTCAAGTAAACCTCATAAAAATAACAAAAAGACAGGGCCCTAATTAGAATTCAATTATTTTTCCCAGTAATACAACTTTTAATATTAAATGCAGGAAATTGTACTTATGCTGATTTTTATGAAATGTTTAAGTTATATTTAAGTGACATTCTATATGCAAAGAATCACTTAAATACAATTTAATGTTCTTAGATTGGCATTCAAAAAGTGCATTTGGATGCCTAATTTGGAATAAAATATTTATATTTTAAATATTTGTAAATAAAATTATATTAATTATAATAATTTGTCTATTATTTGTTCTCCCTCAGAGATATTAAGTAGTATAACCCACACATAAATATTAGTCCAGCCGTTTCTTCGTGAAAAAATTACACATACACAGTACATACTTAGTGTGGAATAAGCTCAAGGAGACAGAAAGAACACACAAAATTTCGCCTTTATAATATTAGTTAGATAAATATTGAACACAGAATATTTAGTTTCAATGAGACTTTATTTTATGGATAAAATAGATATTTCTTGAAGGTTGACTTTCACGAAATTATAAACATATTTAAATTGTATTTAAGCGATTCTTTGCATATAGAATGTCACTTAAATTATTAAATATAACTTAAACATTTCGTAAAAATCAGCCAAGTACAATTTCCTTCATTTTAATATTGAATGTTGGGTTACTGGGTAAAATAATTGAATTCTAATTGCGGCCCTGTCTTTTTGTTATTTTTTATGAGGTTTACTTGACGATAGATGGCGGCCTGTTCCCAAAATTATTATGAAAACTATAAAAATATTATTTTGGCGATTAAAATTTCTTTGTCTGAATGTATTTGCTTCATGAGATAGACGCTCCGATGCTATGGATGGCATCACATTTCATTTGTAAGTAATTTTACACCTAATTTATTAAAATAGTTCTAGAAAAATCTCTTTACGTCCGCTTTGAAATATAATTAAATATATTCCACACTAGATGGCGACACTTCGTGTCCTGTGAACTAAAAATATAAAGGTACGTAGAGCTCGGTAATGATAAAATAATCATACGAAGGTGCTGAAATTTGTTTTGCATTCAGACATAAACAAACTTTAATCGCAAAATATTATTTTTATAACATTTTGTGGACATGCCTCCATCTACCGTCAAGGTAGCTAAGCTACATTGCTACATCGATATGGAAAGATTCGAGTAGTTTTACTATTTATCAGTAGATGTAGATAGTGTAGTGGGCGGGGCTTTGCATCCCCTCACCCCGCAAATTGTCACGCGTTGTTACATAGTGAAATTTAATTACAACTTCTCCTCTTTGTATTTGCTTCATGGTCCTAAATCACAATAAATTCCGTGTAAATCGCCAACCATCGACATGATGTGGATGGAGTTTCGAGTTCAACAGACATACAGACGATTGAAATCTTCCTTTTTTAAAGGCGGCTAAAAATGGATTCTATGTAACAATACATCAACGATTGCTACATTTTCTTTTATAACTAGACCTTCTAAAATGCCTTTGTTCTTTGTAGGGTAATTCTCAACCATACAAAACCGTTAACGCGAAAGCTTTAGAAGACTCGCAAGTGATAAAACTGCCCATGCGGGCATTCCAGGAAGTCTTCAAGGAGTATCCTGACATATTTGTTCGTGTTATTCAGGTACAGTGTTATTGCTCCTTACTTTGTAATTAAATGTTCTTTACCTGTAAAATGTGAATAAAATAGATGTTTAACTTTTGAATAATATTAAAACTGAAATTAATTTGTTGTAATATCTATATATTCCAAAAGTATTTGACGTTTATGTTATTTTAATTGAAAACCTGTAATGCAATGAGTTCACTAGCTCGTTATCTCATTATCGACAATACAACTGCAATTACCTACGTCACATTAAAATGCAGTATCTGTGCGACTTGGCTCTGCTAGGCGTTAGAATAGAATAGGACAATGGTTTCGACGTACTGCAGGGAAGCATTATAAGCCCTTTTTATTGTTAATCTGTCGTTAAAATTGTTATAGTTTCAAATTTGAATAATAACTTATTTTTAAATTTACAGATTATCATGGTGCGACTACAGCGTGTCACATTCACAGCTCTACATCAATATCTAGGACTGAGTGCTGAATTGGTCAATCCGGTAAGTTATTTATGATTATAATTTTGAGTTCCGATGTAAAATGTTAGTAGAGAGCACTTGTCTAACGCATAAATTATTTTTATGTATATCAAACCTATTTATTTAGAATTGTACATAATAAAATAAGTTTAAGTAATAAAAAACATACATTTTTACTTATATCTTGCTTTGAATGGTTAACATTGACAGCTCTTATTTACTGTTTTCCGTTATATTTTCTGTTAATCATTTTTTCCTAATTTTATTTACTGTGTTTAGGGTCGAGAGAAACGCCGACCAAACACCTTCGCGTCGTCACCAGGCAAAAGCAGCAAGGTGGTTTTGGTGGACAGCGGCACCTCCATGCATTCACCACATCACACTGAGAGGGCCGGCGAGCATTTGGCAAGTATTGTTAATTTGACTGTTGCTAGTAGTACATACTGAAGATATTCCTATTGTAATATTTTTAATGCTTCAGTAAGTAGTCCAAAAGATGTCCTTTTTATGTAGACTTCTTTACTCAAAACTATAATAAAAAAAGTGTAAATTAAGTACAAACATAAATAATATTAGTAGTAATTTATCGCTTTTTTAGACACAACATATTGAATGTTATATTGGTTTAAACAGAAAGTTTTAGTTCTTATACTATTTTTAATTTTTCTTTATCTACGACATATTTGTTCTGTAATTTATATTTGTGGTGTGCAATCCTGTCTGCTACACAGCAGCTGTGTCACAGCATGTTTGTTTCTTAAAAATTTCTTAAAAAGAGACTTCGAGTGTACATAAATCTGCAAATCTTATGCCGTCAACGTAAGGTTTACTTTCACGCAGTTTTTTTGCATCTTGTTCGTGTCATCCTTATCACCTTAGTATTTTAACAATTCATTTTATTAAACGTGTCTAACATAACATCGTATAACTGTAACAGGAGGGCGGACACCAAACTTCATCTCCCATACTCATTCAAGGCAGAAAACCCAGACCCGACATGGTGCCCGATCTCACATCTAACACACCTCAGGTAAAAACCCTGCAAAATGTCTAAGAAGTATATAAAGTTGTTGATACATTTTATTGTTAGATCTTATTTAACTTTGCATGTATTAAGGTTTTTGAAGTACATATTAACAAAAACATCTCAAAAAAATGTTATATATTATTTTTAATAATTAGTTACTAAAACATTGAAATATATTTTTTAAAACCTTACCCTCACACTAGGATTTCCACCTGTGTCATGTAGGTAGTTTAGATACATAAATTTTTCAAGGACAAACATCCAGACCCGGATCAATTATTTGTAGGACATTCAAATACTTGTTCCGTGTGGGAATCGAACCCGCGGCCCTCAGCGTTGCAACTCATTGCTAAGCCATTGCCAAGCCACTGCCAAGCCACGAAACCGTCGATTGTTAAAACAGCTTTGATATTATGTTAGTTGTAGATGATTTACTTAAAGAAACAACTAGCTACTCGATTCCAGTTATGGATCGCGCTATTCGATTGATGATGAATTCTTATATCTATATATGACAATGCATCATCGTGTAATATTTATAAATTAAAAAGCCGCTGCCACGTATGTATATGTTCGCGCTAATCTTAGAAACTTCTACGGGGACGTTCATTCGTTTGGCTCGATTCGATCTTCAATAGACACTGATTCACGATAAAGGTTTGGGTTTATAATTTATGAAAAAAAAATTGTGCAAATTAACTAATTTTATGATAATATAAGTCGATAAGGTTAAAAAAAAATCGTGTCTCTTAGGGTAAGATCTATAGACCGTACTTTGACTTTGTTCAGAGTTAACTTACGACAAACTTCGCTGAGTATATGTTCAGCATAATCTTTGATTCTGAATTTATAGTTGTATCGGGCTAAGATTAAACTAAGCTTATGCTAAGGCCCAGACAGTCTAAATATTAATGGATGCTTCATTCCACGCATTATGTTTTTGGCTTTACTGTATAAAATTAAAAAATATATATATTTAAAATCAAAATAGAGCTAAAAAAAGTAGTTACCTATTACGAAGAGCAGCTGCTAAACACGGGCTCTTTGCAAAAGTAGCAGAGGCCGCAATATTATTTACGACACCTGACAGCGAATTCGAATAATAAGTACACGATAAGAGGGAAAAAAATTAATATAAAATATTACTCACAGCAACAGCCGGACGTTCAACCGACCTCGTCCTTCAAATCCAAAGAAGGTTCGTCGTTCAAGAAACACAACACTGACAATCTCGATGAGCAGGTCAGAATATAGCTCTATTAATGTGATTATTAACATTTTGATGTGGTGGCAGATTTTTGTCAAACACTAAATTTGTCATAGAATCCACGCGCACAAACGACGAGGTGATAAGATAATACATCATTACACTTCGGCCCGTGGGTGGCGTGGCTTCTATGGGAAATGCTAGAAGCTTCCGATAGATGGCGGTACCATTTACGCCAGGCGTAACGGTGCAAATACAAAGAGGAGACGGCCTAAGTAACTGTGCACAGTGATTCTAACTAGGTCCTGACGTCATGACAGTGGGCTTAGCTTGAGTTAGTATACTGTCAGCGTTCGTCCTGTGCGCTTATGTGTCGAAAATCGCAAATTGATGTATTTTCGTAGTATTAAGAATAATGAAATATATTGGACACTAGATGGTGACATTTTAATTCATGGGAACTAAAAATATAAAGGTACGTAGAGCTCAGTATTGGTAAAATAATCATACGAAGGTGCTGAATTTTGTTTTGCTTCAAAGATGCTTCACCTCTGTTACTGTGTGTGTAAAGTGGAAGAAGATGCTTCTCAATTTTTTTTTTGTTGTCTTAGAGTTAATTCTAGCATATTCATCTTATTACGAGAAAATACCAGAATTACGTATTAGGTTATAAATGATAAAGAAGCAACATCTCAGATATATCAACATTATGCAACGAGATCTGTAACATCCAAATTTGAGATGAAGATAACTTTAAGATGACTTGCTTCCAGTAGCTGTAGTAGTGTATTTTTTTATAGGATAAGGGTGGCAAACGAGCACACAGTCCACCTGATGGTAAGTTGTACATTTATCCTCGTTTGCGAATCAAAATGCAGATGCGTTGACAGCCGTGAGGAATAAGATGAAATGCCTTTTTTACAGTAAAAAGAGTCATCAGTTCTCTACACTTACTATACGAAACACAGCAGCATTAAGCTGCTATTTTACGCTGGTATTCTGTGAGAGCGTGGTTCTTCCTCCGTCGAGCCGACCCATTCGTGCCGCGTATTATAATTAGCTGTTAATTTGCTTAACTATTAGTCTAAAAAGAAAAAAAAATGTGCTTAATTTTCTTATTGTGGTAAACAAGAACGTTTGACAGTCTGATTAAGATCAAGAAAATGACTTTCCATAATTATTTTGTAATTACTTTTAGAAGAAGAGAATACACTGCCTCATATCATCCCGTGGGTGACGTAAGAGGCGACAAAGGTAAATGAAACAGTAGGTGGATAGCAGCATCTTCTTGATAACATCTCAAAATAATAAAAAAACTGGTTGCCGACCCTCCTGTCAAGCGTAGTAACTATGGCATAAATCCGTTAACAACGTTGTAATGATGGAGTGTGTCGACGAGAGTTGCGTACCTTGTACTCAGAATCACCAAACGGTATTCACTGAAGGTCATACAGTTTTACGCACCAACCTCGGCACACCCCGATGAGGATGTGGAGGAAATGTATGAGGATATATCTAGAGCCATGCATTCCTCCAAAACCCACTATACGGTGTTTTTGGGACACTTCAACGCAAAACTAGGCACAAGAAAGAACGGTGAGCTGAGGGTAGGGAAATTTGGAATAGGGCAACGGAACCCAAGGGGCCAACAGCTGGCCGACTTCAAGGAGAAAGAGGGACTCTTTATGATGATAAAGAGTCCCTTATGATGAACTCTTTCTTCCAGAAGCGGCCTGGGCCTGGTCGAGCCCCAACGGTTCGACAAAAAATGAGATTGACTTCATTATGGCGACCAGACGACAACTGTTCAGTGATATTTCAGTGATCGCGAAGATGAAAACCTAAAACCGAAAAAGAGGTTACGTCTAATGAAGTCAACGCTCTGTCCCCCTCGTGCTCTAATCCAAAGTCCCGAATCCTTTCAGCTCCAGCTACAAAACCGCTTTCAGTGCCTAGAAGATTGCAATGCAGTGGATGATATGAATGACAAGCTCGTTGAAACTGTCCATGCGGTCAGAACTAAGTTCTGCAAGACCCGCCGCAGAAGAACACAAAAACTCTCCGATCACACTCTTAATCTCATGGCTGTGAGACGGGAAATGAAGCTGCAGTATTCAGTAGATTCGACAGCATACAGGCAACTGAACAGATAGATCTCCAAATGCATGCCGCGGGACTTACGCAACTTTAATACTGCTCGTATTGAAAAAGCGATCGAGCGGAACGAGGGCTCCAAAGTTCTTGCTAGAGATCTGTCTGCCAGAAAGAGCCAATTGTCGAAGCTGAAGACCGAATGTGGCAGCGTTGTTTCCGGGAAACCTGAAATTTTGAGTGAGATTGAGAGGTTCTATAGGCAGCTGTACACATCATCGTTGGAGCTACACGCAAGTGTGAGTAACGATCCAAGAGCAAGTCTTATCCGACACTATACTGATGATATTCCAGACGTCAATCTGAGCGAGATTAGAATGGCTCTCCACCACCTTAAAAACGGCAAGGCCCCAAACGAGGATGAAATTACGGTGAAGCTTATGAAAGCGGGTGGAAACCGGTACTTGAAGTCCTTCAGAAGCTCTTTAATTCCGTCCTCCATGGTGGCACTATATCGGAGGCGTGGAACAGAAGTGCGGTGGTCTTGTTCTTCAAGAAAGGCAACAACGCTCTCTTGAAGAACTACAGACGGATTTCCCTTCTGAGCCGCGTCTACGTGCTGTTTTCGAGAGTCATTACGAATCGTCTCGCAAGCAGATTCGACAACTTCCCGCCTCCATAACAAGCCGGTTTCCGAAAAAGCTTTAGCAACATAGACCACATACATACCCTTCGGCAAATTGTACAGAAGTACGAGGAGTACAATTTGCCACTATGTCTGGCGTATGTGGACTATGAGAATTCCTTTAATTCCGTCGAAATTTGGGCGATGCTGCAGTCCCTTCAGCGGTGCCAAGATACAGTACTATCCGAGTACAGAATCAGACCGGTCGCGTCAGTGCGTGCAGTCAGAGGCGTCAGGATACAGATGAGACGTATTTACGCTACCAGGTTTTAAAACCAGGTATTCACTTCAAAGTACGGCGCCCTGGTACGAGCAAAAAATACTTGCAAGTATAAAAATACTTGCATAGGAAAATTATCCATATCTCAATAGTAGTAAGGCACTCAATCGTACGTGTGAACGAAAAATACTTTGAACTTCAAAGTATTTTTTTATTTATACGACTTTGCTCCTTATTCATAGTAGGATAACATGGAATACGGGTGAAATTCCTATGCAAGTATTTTCAAATTTTGACACCACGGCTGGACACGTCGCTCGCGTCGCAATGAGACGTATTTATGCTACCAGGTTTTTACTTTAAAGTACGGCGCCCTTTACGACCTTTTTGGTCGTAAAGGGCGCCGTACTATGCAAGTACTACGCCGTACTACGCTACGCTACGTACTACGCCGTACTATGCAAGTATTCTCATACTTGCAAGTATGAGAATACTTGCATAGGAAAATGATCCATATCTCAATATTAATAAGAAACTCAATCGTATTTGTGAATGACAAATACTTTGAACTTGAAAGTATTTTTTTTATTTATACGACTTTGCTCCTTAGTCATAATAGCCTAACATGGAAAGCGGGTCGAATTCCTATGCAAGTATTCTTCCTTATTATATTACTATACTCTTTGCAAGTATTTTCAAACTGACACCGCGGCTGGACACGTCGCGTAAGTACCTAGTAAATAATAAGAATTATGTTTATATTCGAGGAAGTAAAAGTTTTGTTTCGATTTCTTGTAAATTCAATTGTTATTGTGAACTGATTACGTAACCTATTGACCGTGACCTAATTTTTAAATAGTTATTTCGCGTGTATATTGAATGTAGAGACAGTTTTAAAACTTTTATTTATTAAGAGTCCTAAGCCGAAAAGTAGGAAGGAAAGATTTCATTTCGTTACTAAAAAAAAAATTAAAAACGTTCAGTATAAATTTTTGCCCGAATCAAATTAGGCATTCATATATATATTGACATTAACAAATACATTCAAGTATTTTTAAAACCTGGTTTTCGACCCTGGTATTTTTCTATACTCGTACTTAGAAGCCCTGGTATTAAATTTTGCAAGTATGTCTCATCTCTACGTCAGGACCGTGCTTTGTGGCATTCCTTGGGCGAGGCCTATGTTCACCAGTGGACTTGTGAAGGGCTGTAATGATGATGATGATATTTCATTTTTGCCTGCGGGAACCCGAGCTCTTCGCGTGCTATTTTTTATATTTTACACCAAGCTCTTATATAGAATTAATTGCAGGCTCTAATACAAATTGCGACTGAGGCGTTTGTGAAGGAGCTGGGTCTCGAAAACGATGATTTGCTCCGTGGCAACGTACAAGTGAGAGACCTCCCCGCTGGCACCTATATCATGAAAGAGGAGAGTCATAAGGTGATTATAACATTTTTACACTAGTAAGGTGATTAGCGAGCACACATTTCACTTGGAATAAGTGAATGTTGCGGCCCATAGACACCCCATCCCTGATTAAGTATATTATACACAGAAAATACAGATACACTATCACCCCTAAACACTAAGCTGGATTGGTTCCGTTAGTCTCTGGTTTTCTACACTTACCATACGAAATAGCAGTATAATGACTAGTCTCACTTTACTTGACACGGGCATGAGGGTAGAAAGGAAATATGTAATTCAGTCAGTCCCAATTAAAAATTAAAAATAAAATATGGCAATGTTATGCGATATCTTTGTCATATTTACGTGATAGAAGTGAAAATTTCAAATGAAATGAAATATAAAATAAAAATATTTCACGGCAAATAAGTAATATGATCATTTTCAACCACAAGTGCGGCAAAAAAATATAAGATAAAAGTTTAATTATATAGCAAATAAATGTTACAATCCTTTTTTAGACAATTTTAGCGTAATAAATAAAAAAATATTTTCTTTCTAGGAAAATTGCTTTATAATAGAGCCATCTACTTTATTTTATAGGTAAAGTTATTTCATAGATTACCTCCTGACCTTAGGAGGTAATCTATGAGTTATTTTATCGAACAAACATTGATTGACTCGCAAGGTGGTACGTAGAATAAATACTAGACGGCCTGAAGTTTTGAAATCGTGGATTGGTGTAAATGGTCTGTTATATTAAGATAATTTTATTCGTTATAGTCATTTCTTTTTGTTTAATGAATATGTTGATTTGTTAAATAAAATAGAAAAAAATATTTTAAATATTTTTTTAAAAAGACAAAAATGACAGTAGTCGAATGTCGGATTCGAACCCACAACCTTTTGAGTTCGCTGTCTACACTGTACTCTTATCTCATTATTTCGAAGGCTAAATCCAATAGATGTGTTATGTTTGTCTCTTTTTTAGTGACGCGTTTTCATTTCATCGAATTTAAAATCACAACGATTCTAAATAAGTATTCACTTCAAAAATCTATTTTGAAATCGGTTAAAAATCCATTTATAACTTATTTTGAATACCATCATTGTTATAATTATTAACATATTCTTAATTTCTTTCAAAAGCTGTATTATTGTATCGAGGGTGAGCCGGAGATTGTTCAGGTAGCTATTGACTTCGCGCGTTAATAAGAGTGGTGTTAAGTTTTTAGTGTGATTGCGACATGTTTATAAATTCATGTAATCAACCTATCAATGAATACATTAATGTTACAAAATATCAGCGCAATCTACTATTTCGATTTAGTTAACCGCAGTTTTAGTTAACCATAATATACAAAAATCATTCAGTTTTTTTTTTGGTTTTGCACAATTTTATTTAAATTATGATAAAATTAAACCTCTGATTTAAAAATTATCAATTCAATTATAATTTTTAAATGTGAATGCAGTCATTGCAAAATTTAAATAAATCACGAATAAATAATAAAATCTTTTGTCATTTTTAATTCGTCATGCATGTTGTTTTTACATGCCATAAATTCGTGTGTGCGAATATATATTTTGTATATTTTCTAAATTAGTCTACTAATAGTTGTAAGTCTTGTTGTTGAACTGAGGCAATACGTAAAATTCTAAAAATTCATATGACATTGGTTTTGCTCTTGTAGAATATAGATTTGTTACTTGAATTGGGTAGTTGACAACACCATTAATAAGTTACTACGTTGTAGAATTTGAAAAAATTACTTTTAGTACTGTCTCGAAACATTGTCCGTTTTCCGTTTTAAGTTAAATTCTACATTTATTATTTAAAAATTGGACGATAACAATTAACAACTATGATGTCGTAAGTCATTACGTATATGTTTTGAATTCTCTTAAAAAGTATTTCAGTTGTCTAGTCTAGTGCGTCAAATACCCAATTTTAAAGTATTCTATTGCTGTGTTGATTTTTATAATATTTATTGAAACATTAATTGTTTTGTACAGGATGTGTCTTTAGTGTACCTCCTGTCTGGTGCACTACTCGTCTCCCAGAAGGTGGCCGAAGGTGAAGGGGAGGTGCATATGTTTACGGCGTATCCAGGTCATCATTTACAACTCATCATTTTATCACACTTTGGGATTTTCATTTTTTTTTGTTTTAATTTTTTTCAAGAAGTGGATAACGAAATCAATCAAAATGAAGCTCTTTTAGATTTCATCTGAACCATATTTTCTTTTGATTATATGTAGAGGCACAAAAGTCTAGCGGTGACCGTTATTGCGTATAAGTCGAAAATAAGGTATCATGGGGTAGTAAGCGGGTCGCGAGGCGGGCGTGCGTAGTTTGCACGTGTTGATTGGCTCGTACATGTAGTTCGCGCGCGCTGATTGGTTCGTGCATATCGTTCGCACACGCTGATTGGCTCTTCAGTCGTATTCGTGCAATTCAATTCGTGCGCGTCCCCTCTACGTTTCGTTCAGCGCTAGACTTACGTGCCGCGACTTATAAATAATTTGAAGTTTTTAGCTGCACACTAAATATAACAGAGTAGTATTACGAACAAACACAATAATCTTATTTACCTATCCTAACGCCGGAAGGGGGTAGATACCACCCTCAAATCCGCCAACTTCCGCCGCTAATTGCATTGCTATTTTGTTCCGTTTTATTTGTAAGAAAACCAGTACAATTGCAGGCTTTGGGCATTACATAACAAAATGATGAGTCTACTACATGCCTATGGATTTCGGGAAACCAATTTCAAACAAAGAAGCTAACAGATTCGTCACGTCACCCTTGAAGACGAAGATGAACCTATACAGACTAACTCCTAACCAGCAACCTCTTAGTGTATAGAAAATAATATAGAGGTTAACCACCACCACCAACCATGTATATGTTTATCAATTTGATATACCAACCATGTCCTGCTAGCATGGTTGTATACCAATTAAGTGAAAATTGTTTTCCTTCAGATAACAATCTTGGTGTTTTTGAGTAACCTTTTCTTATGAGGCAATCTACCACCAGTTGGATGATGTGTTCGTTTGTCATTCTTAGTTAATTAAAAGTCCTACTCACCGTTAACCGGCTCATTCGTCGCTCAATTCATATAAAAAAAATGTGGTTTCTCCATCGGTCGGCAGGCGAAGTGGAAGGTGGTTTGGCGGTTCTGACGGGGGAGCCAAGTTTTTTCTCGATCCGCGCGAAGCATTTCTCACGTATCGGGCTGCTGTCGAAGGGCGCGGTGTACAGCATCATGCGCGATCGGCCCTCCGTGGTGCTGCATATCGCCAACACCGTGGTGAAACGCCTATCGCCATTCGTGCGGCAGGTCGATTTTGCACTCGATTGGGTCAGTGTTTGCTTATTTATATTGTATTAGGTATTTTATGAAAATTAAAACGAAATATTATTGTCATTGCTCAGCGAGCTATGGAGAGGGATATGCTCGGCGTTTCTTTGTGTGATAGACTTAAAAACGAGGATATCCGCAGTAGAACCAAAGTAACCCACATTGCCCAAAGAATTAGTATGCTGAAGTGGCAATGGGCCGGCCATATAGCTCGAAGAACCGACAACCGATGGGGAAGAAAGGTTCTCGACAGGCGAAGTGTAGGGCGTCCCCCCGCTAGATGGAGTGACGACTTGGTAAGACATGCAGGAAGTCGATGGATGCAGGTGGCTCAGGACCGTGCTTTGTGGCATTCCTTGGGGGAGGCCTATGTTCAGCAGTGGACTTGTGAACGGATGTAATTATGATGATGATGATGAAAACGAAATAAAGAATTAGCATTGAATTAGCATTGCCAGTGGTTTATATTCATAGTTAATACAGACAAAGACAATTACTGTAGTTAAATTTTGTAGGCAATCTAATACGTAAATGAGGATTGTATAAGGAGTGGTGTTCCAAGTGATCGACATCAACCAATGGCATCGATCGAAGATCGATCGATTGGTGTGGACCCTTAGAGGATCAGATAAAGTGAAAGAGATCTTTTGCTCGGCTAAGTGTTAAATACCCATTCTATTTTGAAAGAAGAAAAAGAGAAAAGAATGAAAATTACATTCAATTCAAAACAGAGAAAAATCTTAATATTGGTCTGCACAAACGAAACGAGCGCGCAGTCTGCATCTCAGTATAAACTATTTACTTACAAAAATAGTTTTGCAACACTTTGAAATCAGTTAAAAAAACGACTATTAAATTTTATATCAAAAATCTCACATTTGTTTTCAATCACTAGGTGTTTATCGAATCCGGGCGAGCGGTGTACAGACAGGATGAAGAATCTGGATCCACGTTTATTGTATTAAGCGGACGTTTGCGTTCAGTAATCACGCATCCAAATGGGAAGAAAGAGCTGGTGGGCGAGTACGGCAAAGGAGACCTGGTGGGAATTGTAAGTACTAAATAATTTCGCGACAGTAGCCTAATGGCACCGAGGACTTGATAGGCATGAAAATATACCTACGCTGCGCGGCCCCATACAAGGGTCTAATTCTATGAGGTTGTCCGGCTCGCGCTCGAGCCGACGCGCGCCTTACGTTAACAAAATAGTATTTTTCTCTTTATAAGTATTGAGGGACTTTTGATATTTATTTTTGATATTTTATTCAAGTATGGCCTCTCAAAAAGCCAAAAGGTACTGCATAGCATACGGGTGCTTAAATAACAAAAGGAATGTCGACTTTTCATTATTTACTGTTCCTAAGGATTACCGAAATGTAAGATATTATTATTTATTGGTAGATCTAGATAATTAGTAATTTTTTGACGATGTTATCGGTAGGCTTTTTTAACCAAGGTCGTATCCGAGGCGTGCAAAGTATTATGAACATTAGCGACGTTGCAACTAGGTTTTAAAATGCAAGTTTGCTGTCAGACAGTGATCCTTTTGTTCTTGTAGTGTTATTTATTCTGTGGTAATATGTAAGCACCTTAACCCTAAACTACGTGGGCTTATGTACTTATTATAATTGGCGAATATTTTAATTCATCCGGTTGTTATTGTGGCCACCAGGTGGAGATGGTAACTCAAACGCGACGCAGCACGACAGTGATGGCGGTGCGAGACTCGGAGCTGGCGAAGCTGCCCGAAGGACTATTCAATGCCATCAAACTGCGTTTTCCGGTCGTCGTCACTCGACTTATAAATCTGCTTGGACATAGAATTCTAGGCTAGTACATTTAAATTAAGTTTAGTGTACATTTAATTTATGTTTTCACATCAATCTGTATAGTTTACATAACTAGCGGTCCGCCTAAATTTTTACTTTAAATGACGATATTACGAGTACGATACCATTGACCTAAAATTAGGATAGATGTATATTTATTTTTTTTCTAAATCAAATCATTTTCTTAATAAATTTCAATTTTGCAAAAATTTAAACAGAGGTAAACGACAGCTGCGTTTCGATAAGGGCCACAACATCCACTTACCATCAGGTGGTATAAAACACCCTCGCTTGACAAACTTACTTTTATAAAAAAGTGAGCATTGAGGTGTATTTTGTTGCAGGATCATGGCAGAAGCCGGGCGCGGGGGGCCGCGGGCCCACAGCGCTGGAGCCGCGCTTCTCGCAGCACACGTTCTCCACGGTGGCCGTGGTGCCGGTGGGCGACGACGTGCCGCTCACCGCCTTCACCTACGAGCTGTACCACTCACTCAGCGCCATCGGTACGTCACGTCACGTCACGCCACGCCACGCCACGTCACGTCACGTGACGTCACGACACGACACGACACGACACGTCACAACACGACACGTCACGACACGACACGACACGTCACGTCACCTCACGTTATGTTACGCGAAGTTTTACGCCCTATCAACACTATATGTCGTCTGCACTGTCTCTAAACCGCGGCGCCCACCTAAGCTACATGATTTCGACATGGCTTGTAGCATGATTCTGACGATACTCTGACGTGACCACGGGTGACACTACTTGCGCCAACCTGTGCAACAATAGCATATCGCAGAATTTAGTTTGAGCCAAAATGTCGTCTGAAGAAGATAAACATGCCCTTGCTATGCTACAGATTTCAAACATTCAAAGTGCCAGCAAAAGATTTTGGGTACATGCTTTGAGGAAAAAAATTGAAGAGTGGTGGTACTTTCAATGCTATGAAGGAATTAGAATTATATTTTGCATAGGCAAGTCACTACAAGTTGCAAGAAGTATCTTGCGAATTCCTGTTAATGTAATCGGATCTAGAACAATCATATTGTATACATGGCCTTTCATGAAAAGAAAAAAGCTAGGGCGTCTTTCATTTTGTATAGACAAGTCACTGCAAGTTACGTGTTACGCGCCACTTCAATGCGTCACTAGTAGCAAGCTGAATGGCACGTCAGGTCATGCAGCATCACGCCACGCTAATGGGCGCTACTACATACAATCTAAAGAGATTGTAGTATTCTCTAAAGAGATTGTATGTAGTAGCGCCCATTAGCGTGGCGTGATGCTGCATGACCTGACGTGCCATTTAGCTTGCTACTAGTGACGCATTGAAGTGGCGCGTAACACGTAACTTGCAGTGACTTGTCTATACAAAATGAAAGACGCCCTAGCTTTTTTTCTTTTCATGAAAGGCCATGTATACAATATTTTTTTTTAATTTTATTTTTTTTATTTTATTTAATTAGGTTACCAACGATTGTTACATTACTCAAATCTTAATTGCTAAAGCTTAGTATCTAGTACATAATGCACAATCACTTATAGGTAATCATCGCTTACACAATAAAACATTAAATAATAAGGCAAAAGACTAAAAGCTACATCTCTAAAATGGTTTTTTTGAATTTAGTGGTTGTCATACAATGTACGTCAAGGATTTGGTGATGGTCACAATATTTGTTATAAATATGGCACATTCTAGAGATCGGGGAATTCGATCCTAGTAGCGTCCTACGGAATGGGCATACTAGAGGCTTAATAGGAGCACGAGGTATTCTCCGCGGCACTCTAAAGCAAAATTTTGAGAGGAGTTCTGGAGAGCATATGTAGTTTCTAATAACTTTATAGAAGAACATTAGGTCAGTTATATCTCTTCGCTTGTCCAGTGATGTTAACTTAAAGTATTTTAAGGTTTAGAGTACGAATAGGGATTACTCAGCTTGCCAACGGAGTACGACAAATGGCGTATGAACCTTTTTTGAATCCGTTCAATCCTTAGACTATGAGTTGCAAAATGGGGACGCCATACTACACTTCCATATTCTAAAATTGAGCGCACTAGGCTGCAGTAGAGCAAAATTTTGGTTGCTGGTTTTCTGAAAAATTTTCCATTTCTTATTACGAAACCTAACATTTTTGATGCTCTCTTTGTAGCATGATCAATATGATTGACGAATGTTAGTTTTTGATCCAAAAGAATACCCAAATCTTTGAACACATTTACCTCTTTGATCTGAATGCCTTCGATATGATAAGTAGTTGGAATAATTTTAGATTTCCTAGTAAATTTGATGTGCACACATTTATCTACGTTCAATTTCATGCCGTTTGTTGCACACCAAGCCACTAAGGAGTCGATATCGCTTTGCACAAGTGCAGCATTCTCAAGTGAACTAACGGCTCTAGCCAATTTCAAGTCATCAGCAAACATGTATGGTTTCGTAAATTTAAGACTAAGAGGAAGGTCATTAACGAAGATGTTGAATAATATCGGTGCGATGTGAGATCCTTGGGGCACACCTGAAGGAATGGGATGCAACTCTGATGCAAAGCCATTCACTACCACATAAAAAGCTCGACCAGTAAGATAAGACTTAAGCCATTTTAAAAGAGAACCATGAAAACCATAAATTGATAGTTTCTTTAGAACGATATCATGAGAAACTCTATCGAACGCCTTGCTGAAGTCCGTGTAGATAACATCAATTTGTCTATTGCTATCCATCTGCTCAATTAATTCCTCAGTGAAGAGGACCAGATTAGAACAAGTTGATCTACCGTTCATAAAACCGTGCTGGCAGGGTGATATGAACTTCAGAATGTGATTTTGTATGTACGGACAGACAAGTGCTTCCAGTACTTTAGCTAAGGTAGATAAGATGGAGATTGGTCTGTAATTTGAGACTCTACAATTGTCACCATTTTTATGAATAGGCACAACTTTGGAAGTTTTCCATATAGTTGGAAATATACCTGTTTGAAGTGAAATGTTAAAAATTTTGTAAAGTGGTTTCAGAAGATTGTTCGCACACTTTGAAATGAATATTGGGGGAACATTATCGTAGCCTGCTCCTTTAGAAATCTACACTCTGTAGCTTTTTTAAAATTAAATTGTGATCTAATTTTAAGGAAGAAAAGCATTCACTGTTTTTGCTAATTATGTTGAGATTAGCGTCAAAGTGTTCGCTTGTATTACTTTTATTTATGATTTGAGAATTACAGTATATGGAAGTGAAATAAGAGGCAAAGAGATTGCAGATGTCCCTACCCTCTGTAAAACAAGCGGTACCGTCGGTCATAGACATAGGATAAGTACTAGAGCCCCCACGTTTGCTTTTTATATACTCGTATGACTAGGAATATTTAGGGTTTGTCTGGATGCGATTCTCGACTTCCGCGTGATAGGATTTGTAGCAAGATTTCATTAGGTTCCTACAACGTTCTGTAAGAAGACGATAAGAAATAAGTCTAAGGGATTGTGATACTTTTTGTATTTTAGTCTGTACTTATTTTTTTCCCGTAGGCGATTAATTAGGTCCTTGGAGAACCATAATGGATATCTTTTATTCTTTACTCTAGTAACAGGTACATTCTTTATAATTACTTCTTTGATATTATTATAAAAAATGTCTACCATCTGATCGATGTCTTCGACACCTGTGAAAAGTTCATCCCAATCGATCTTGGCTAAATATTTGTTAACTTTGTCATAGTCAACTAGATGAAAATTTAGCCTACGTGTCTCAAGATTGTATGGCAGAGTTGGACTACTAGAAAAAGTAATTTCAACTATGAGTGGTGGATGTAACGGGTCCTCGGTACATAATATGTCTGTTGCTCGAGAAACAGTGCATGAAATTGTGTCTATTAAGACTAAATCAAATGTTCTACCCATAGAATTATTAATAAAATTGCATTGTTTTAGGCTGTTTACCATAGAAAAATCAATAAAGCTTTGATATAAGGGAGAAGTCTGTAAATTTTCTGAGTTGTATACACTACTCCAGTTTAAGTTGCTCAAATTAAAATCTCCGATGAGGCAAATTTGTGTGTTAAGTTGCTCTTTTACTTTATTAAAATTATCGATAAAATGATTAAGTAGCGAAATATGAATTGGTGGTGGGAGATACACGGCACAAAAAACAATCTGGTAGGTAGATGAGGATGAGTCTACTGCTACCCACAGGTCTTCGCATTTGCTATCATAGTGATGAAGCCTTTTGGAGTGAATATTTTTATTAATGGCAATTAAGACTCCTCCCCCATCTTTATGCGAATTAAATGTAAAGTCCTCTCTATCTCTCCTGTATACTACGTATCTGTTGTCGAATATTTCAGAACTAAGGATGTTTTTATTAAGCCAAGTTTCTGTTAAAATAATAATATCATAATTACTAGCTAACAAGTTACAATAAAATAAATGAGTTTTGGTTCGGAGACCACGTATGTTTTGGTAATATATATTAAGAGCTGAGAATTTTATAGCTTTTGGCCAGGACTTTTATACTATCAATACCAAGGACAAACAAGTATTTATTTAAGTTTGTGAATAGTGTCCATATCCTTTATAGTTATGCAGTTCGCCTTGTCGCTTTTCCTCATGTAAATACGGCCATTTTTAATCCAAACGTATTTATATCCCTTTTCTTTTGCAGCGGATCTGGCGGCAACGTGCAGGGCTCTGTTTGTCGGTGATAGATGATCAGTAATGAATATAGGTGTTTTCGATCCTTCGTATCCAAGATGAGAGCTGTTGAGTTTATCGTGAACAGGTTTCGGTTTGTTAAAGTTTATAGCTGCGGCCATGAACAAATTTCTGGATTGAATGGTGTTGAATTGAGCAACGATCGATCTGGGTCTTGTGCTTCCAGGATTTAGTTTAGCTATGCGAGTACAATGGGAAATATTGTCCCTGGAAACATTACAGTTAATGACTTTGCCAATGTTGGTTATAATCTCAACAATATTTTCATTTTTCTTCTCCGGAATGTATTGGATTTCCACATTGTTTGAGCGTGCATTTTGTTCCAGCATGTTAAGTCGTGTGCATAAGTCTTTTACTGTGTTTTTAAGAGTCAAGTTTTCTACCTTTAGATCCGACAGAGTTTTTTTAACTTCGGCTTGCTCTTTAAGGACTTCCTCAAATTTGCTGTTCATGAAGTTCATTGAGTCTTTAATATCCTTCATTTCATTCATAACGGCTCTCAATTCAGTACTGAATAATTGAAGGGAGTTGCTAAGATTAGTATTCAATCCATCTATTTCCTTGCGAACCACTTCCTGAACAACGCTACGCATATCTTCTTTAAATGTATATTCTGATGCGTTGTCAGGGGGGGATTGTAACGCCTGCCTTATTGTGGCGCGGATTGTTATATTTGGATTGAAACGCACCGGAGTCTCATCGTTGTTAGGGTTTTTTGGCTGGGGGGGTAGTGCATGTTGGACAATTCCAGGATGGTTCAATCAGATTTTGAGGGTTAACAGTTGATGAAGACAAACAAGCCAAGTGAAATGTCTTGCGGCATGTATTACATAGAATGTACCCATTGTCCTCTTTATTAGACCCTCCGCAACATCCCCATTCATTATTTTTACTGGACATTATTATAAAGTATAATTTATTAGTACTCCTACCACTTCTAATATTTCGATTGACACTATGTAAGATTGACTTTAAAAAACTTGTAGGCGTTGTGGGTTTAGAACGACTGGGGTACTAAAATATTTCAACTTTTTATACGATTGGTTCTTGATTTGTTTTTAAGTTGCACTGCCGTAAAATGACGTATAAACAATTTAAGAAACAAAAAAAAATAAAAAAGTTCGAAAGTAAAATAAATCTTCATCTATGATAATGATTGAAGGTTTGAACTTGTGCCGATAGAGTAAATAACAGTGTCGTGGTAACGTGCAACGTTCAAACCGCTAGATTTATGTTAAATAAGCCACTGGTTGTTGAACACAGTCAAATTAATCAATAAAAATGCGGGTCTTTTTGTTTCTTAACAATACTACACAGACACTCACGGTAGCAATTTACCCTCAATGATTTCTGTGAACACTAATGTTAATCGGCACTTTTTGTTTACTTTCTTCCTTAAAGTTGAATTAATACACACAATGAATTATGCTATTTAAAAGGTGTTTGTTTCACGCACTGACTAATATAACTTCCACCACTAACTTCGCAGTATTATTCACTTAAACTATTATTTTTCTGTGGAGATATAACTTATGCGTCTACTTCGTTAGAGCCTCATGTATTATATGATTGTCTAGACCCGATTACATTAACAGGAATTCGCAAGATACTTCTTGCAACTTGTAGTGACTTGCCTATGCAAAATATAATTCTAATTCCTTCATAGCATTGAAAGTACCACCACTCTTCAATTTTTTTCCTCAAAGCATGTACCCAAAATCTTTTGCTGGCACTTGGAATGTTTGAAATCTGTAGCATAGCAAGGGCATGTTTATCTTCTTCAGACGACATTTTGGCTCAAACTGAATTCTGCGATATGCTATTGTTGCACAGGTTGGCGCAAGTAGTGTCACCCGTGGTCACGTCAGAGTATCGTCAGAATCATGCTACAAGCCATGTCGAAATCATGTAGCTTAGGTGGGCGCCGCGGTTAAGAGAAAATATGACATTGAATAATAATTTCCCTCCCCTAAAATAACATGGAATGAATGAATGAAAGAATAGAATTAAAACTGAAATCCGTGAATGAAATTCATGCTATTTGTAACGTCTTTCTGCTTATCACTTCTTATTAATTTTTTCTGAAAAATGTTAGCATTTGTTCTTAAAACTCAATTTGATAACTATCGCCTTGAAAAGCTATTTTCTGTTTGTTAGAAGATTACAGTATACTTGAGTTTAATAAATCAAACAAGTTATTAATTTTATTTACGAAATCAGTGGTAACAACTTCGATAAGATTAAATCTACGTAGGTATTAGTAAACCATATTTACACTTTTTAATATTTCATTTTGGTTTTTGGACGATGTAAATGACAAGCTCGTGAAAACTGCCCATGCAGTCGAAGCTAAGTTGTGCAAGACCCGCCGCAGAAGAACACAAAAACTCTTCGATCACACTCCTAATCTCTGGCTGTTAGACAGGAAATGAAGCTGCAGTTTGCAACAGATTGGACAGCATACAGGCAACTGAACAGACAGATCTCCAAATGCATGCGGCGGGACTTAAGCAACTTCAATACAGCACGTATTGAAGAAGCAATCGAGCGGAACCAAGGCTATACAAAGTCTTTACCAGAGATCTGTCTGCCAGAAAGAGCCAACTGTCAAAGCTGAAGACGGAGTGTGGCAGCATCGTTTCCGGGACACCTGAAAATTTGAGTAAGATTGAGAGGTTATATGGGCAGCTGTACTCGTCATCTTTGGAGGCACATGCAAGTGTGAGTAACGATCCAAGAGCAAGCCTTATCCGACACCATTCCGATGATATCCCAGACGTCAGTCTGAGCGAGATTAGAATGGCTCTCCAGCACCTTAAAAATGCGAGGATAGAATTACAACAGATTCTGATATACTTCTAGAAGCGAGTGGAAAACCATTACTTGAAGTCCTTCAGAAGCTCTTTAATTCCGTCCTCCATGGTGGGCCTACTCCGGAGGCATGGAGCAGAACTGGGGTAGTGATGTTATTCAAGAAAGGCGACAACGCTCTATTGAAGAACTACAGACCAATTTCCCTCCGCGTCTACGTGCTGTTTTCGAGAGTCATTACAAATCGTCTCGCACTCAGACTCGACGATTTCCAGCCCCCCGAACAAGCCCGTTTCCGAAAAAACTTTAATGCCATAGACCACATACATACTCTTCGCATAATTGTACAGAAGACCGATGAGTACAATTTGCCCCTTTGCCTAAGAGTTGATTCCGTCGAAATTTGGGCGGTGCTACAGTCCCTTCAGCGGTGCCAAGTTGACTGTCGGTATATCGAAGTGAAGTGTTTGTATAGTAGGGCTACGATGGCTATCCGAGTAAAGAATCAGAGTATAAAACGTATCCAACTGCAGAGAGGTGTAAGACAGAGTGACGTTATATCCCCGAAACTCTTAGCCGCTGCATTGAAGGCGTTTTCAAACTATTGAATTGGAAAAGATACGGTATTAACATCAATGGCGAATACATCACTCATCTTCGGTTTGTCGACGATATAGTCCTTATGGCAGAATCGCTGGAGGATCTAAGCGCTATACTCAACGACCTCAATAGTGCCACTGAACATATAGGTCTTAAGTTGAACATGAACAAAACGAAAGTCATGTGCAACTTCCATGTCACACCTATGCCGGTAGTTGTTGGGAGCACTAGGCTCGCAGTTGTTGACTTGTTTATCTGGGACAAATAATCCGACTAGGTAAGTCCAACTTCGATAAAGAGATCAATCGACGAATTTAACTCTGTTGGGCAACCTGGAAACAAGATTGTACAACCAGTGGGTATTGCCAGTGATTACCTATGGATTTGAGACGTGTCCCTTCACTGCTGTGTATCCAAAAGACAAATTAATTTCTGTGACAAAAATATTTTATATGAATTTTTCTTGATGCGGTATTCAAGTTAGTGAATGAATGTCACTTAACACCACCTTCATTATCTGAAAAGTGACGTTGGGTTATTCTTTACTTTTTTTAATAAGCTGAGTTTTAATAAGAGAGAATGTACTTTAAATCAATTTAAATCAATGATTCTAAGGTCTATAGTCGTTTTCTATCGTCATGTCACCTTCATCTACGCAATAAAAAAAAACCAAAACTCGAAAATGCTACATGTCACATTCATCCACTCACGTCTTTAAATACTAGGCTTTGCTGCTGTTTTTCGTAAGGTACACATAAGTGTAGAGAATCGGAGACCATTCTTTTCTGGAAACGAAGCATTCCATCTTAGTCCACACTCCACAGGGGTGTTAACGCATCTGAATTTTGATTCTTAATCGAAGATAGATATAGATGTCTGTGGGCCACAACATCCACTTCCCATCAGGTGGACTGTGTGCTCGTTTGTTACCCTTATTCTATAAAAAAAAACCTTTCTTCTTATCTTCAGACCGAAAGAAACAGACGGATTTCTATACAGGAAAAGAGTCCTACCGCCTATACTTTGAAATTTATTTAGTGTAATTACATACACCAATGAAATTGTAAAGGACTGAATTACTACATGCTCGGAGGTGAAGAAAAACATCGTTAAGACTGATATTTTTTGGAACCGAGATATTTTAAAAAAATATTTCGAAAACATGTGAAGTTGGCCAACACGCATTAGGGCAGCGCGATGGACATCTCATTGCCCTAAAAACCCTCATAGGAATGAGAGGAGACCTGTGCCCAGCTGTGGGATGTATACATGCTGTAATTTTAACTTAACATATTATTATACGCAGGTTGTTTAAAAACTGCGGCAAATGTTGTTTTCGAGTTATATTTACGCATACGAACATTTTGTTATTTGCAGGGCCGACTGTGCGACTGACATCTGACGTGATTAGGAAGCTGCTGGGGCTCACCATCATGGATCCCAACAATGAATACAGGCTCAGTTCGTGGCTGGCACAGCAGGAGGACAAACATAAGGTATTGTGGCGTCATTTAAAAGGTTTTAACAATATATAGTAAATAGGAACTTATAATCCCCTACTCCGAGTTAGTCTTGATTTTATTACATGTGAATTACGATAATATTGTAGGCCAACAGATGGTACCATTTACATTAACATACATAAACACTCACGCCTGTCACCCAGAGGGGTAGGCAGAGACTACGGACTTCCATTTGGCGCGATCCTGACACACCTCTCTCGCCTCTTTTACATCCATATATCTACGCATACACGCTCGTCGGTTAAGGGTACTCCTAATCTGGCCCATTTTTAATGTATCGCCGATTTGGTCGATAAACCTTCGTCTAGGGCGTCCCTTCCCGACCCTGCCGTTCACTTCTGCAACATAAATTAATAGTGTCATTTAGTTTTACATAACATTAGAAATAAGTATATAATAGGAAACTAAAGAAGGCAAACCAGCATACTCTCAATCCCCCCTGAACCCCCACTCTATAGCGTTAAGAGGAAACTTTGAGATAATAATCTATCGTTAATTATTCTGTTAACAATTTCATATTGTTTGCTTACAGGTGGCGTTATACCAGTGCGATCCCAGTTTGACCCAGTGGACCCAACGCTGTATCCGACAAGCTGATTGTATATTGATTGTCGCATTAGGTGATAAGCAACCCAGTATCGGAAAGGTGTGTGCAAACATTTGGTTACGTTATACAAAATATTTGTTGTTAGTTTAATTTTTATACTTGAGTTTTTGCTTCTTGGTGGAATTCCTTTGTTTATTTGATGGTAAATGTACACTTTTACTTTTGCATGAGATATGTTATTATAATTTTTAATTTTAAACCTAACCGGTTTCCTACCTTCCTAGGTTGAGTCAACCCATTCCTACTGGAGCCATAGTACTACCGCCGTGGCTCTACTATGTGTAAGGCCTAGTACTAAATTTAAATGTGCCTAGCGTTCATGTACAAGAGACCCTACAATGATCAATTCTATTTTTTGTTGCCATAGTCTCCACGATTGGCAGATGGATTGACGATCAAAGTACTAAATGTATCGTACTTTTAACGCCTCTTATTTTTATTAATAAAATTGAAGTAACAAACGAAATTGCTGTCCACCTGATGGTAAATTAAACAATAATAAACTGCGGTTGCCAACCCGCTAGCCAAGCGTTGCAACTATGGCAAACATCTCCCCATGAGCGACGACACAAGTAAACGACCCCGAGTCCCCAGCGGCCCCCCTATTCTCGGCTACACTGACGACGATGGTAACGGCGGGTCAGGGGGTGCTAAGAATCTTCAGTGGATGTTCGGTTGCCACCTAAGACGACTCGATCTGGCAACATTTAACGCACGCACCCTGAGGACTGACGAGAAGATCCTGGAAGAAGTGATAACAAGTTGCGCTGTGATATTATAGTATTATCTGAGGTTCGAAGAGAGGGTGAGAACAAGGTAATCTTCGAATCTGTTAATTTGTATCATCACCAGGAGGGCAACCATCTCTCCCAAGGTGTTAGATTTATCGTCCACAAATCTCTCGTTAACAAGGTTTGAATATTGGGAGTGTGTCGACAAGGGTTACGTACTTTATACTCAGAATCACCAAACGGTATTCGCTGCAGGTCATACAGGTTTACGCACCAACCTCAGCGCATCCCGATTTGGAGGTGGAGAAAATGTATGAGTATATCTCTAAAGCCATGTTTACCTCCAAAACCCGCTATACGGTGCTAATGAGAGACTTCAACGCAAAACTAGGCACAGGAGAAAACGGTGAGCTGAAGGTCAGGGAGTTCTGCTAAATGTAGGGCCGACTTCATAGAGAAAGAGGGATTCCATGGCGAACTCTTTCTTCCAGAAACGGCTCCACAGAAAGTGGACCTGGTCGAGCCCCGACGGCTCGACAAAAAACGACATTGACTTCATTATGACGACTAGACGTTGGCTATTCAGTGATGTATCAATAATCTCGAGTTTGAAAACTGGCAGTCATTACCGAATGGTGAGAGGCACACTAAATCTAAACGTTAAGTTGGAGATCTCACGTGTAATGAAGTCAACGCTCCGTCCCCCTCGTGCTCCGATCACACTCTTAATCTGTTTTAACAGTGGTAGAGCCACGCGGCAGCTTTTGCTGTCGCACGGATGGGCCGGCTCGAACCGGGGTAGTACCACGATCTCACAGAAAACCAGCATGAAGTAGAAGCTTACCTCTGCGTTTCGCTTGGTGAGTGCAGGTGGCCGGAGGCTCTTTTTACTGGAAATGAGGCATTCCATCTTAGTCCTCATGGGTGACAACGCATCTACATTTTGATTTGTAACAGAGGATAGATGTAGATGTCTATGAGCCGCAGCAACCACTTACCATCAGGTGGACTGTGTGCTCGTTTGTCACCCTTATCCTATAAAAAAAAATCTCATGGCTGTTAGACGGGAAATGAAGTTGCAGTCTTCAGCAGATTTGACAGCATGCAGGCAACTAAATACACAGATCTCCAAATACATGCGGCGGGACTTACTTTAATACAATTCATATTAAAGAAGCGATCGAGCGGAATCAGGGCTTCAATGTCTTTGCCAGAGATCTGATTGCCAGAAAGAGCCAACTATTTAATCTTGAAGACTTTAATGTGGCAGAGTCGTTTTGGGACACCTGAGTAAGATTGAGAGGTTCTATAGGCAGCTGTACACGTTATCGTTGGAGCCACACGCAAGGGTGAGTAACGATCCAAGAGAAAGTCTTATCTGACACTATTCTGATGATATCCCGGACGTTAGTCTAAGCGAAATAGGAATGGCTCTCCAGCACCTTAAAAACAGCAAAGCTCCGAGTGAGGATGGAATTACAACGAAACTTGTAAAAGCGGGTGGAAAACCGGTACTTAAAGTCCTTCGGAAGCATTTTAATTGAGTCCTTCATGGCGGCACTACTCCGGCGACGTGGAGAAGAAGTGCGGTGGTCAAAAAGTGGAAAGGCTCTTGAAGAACTACAGACCGATTTCCCTTCTGAGGCGCGTCTACGTGCTGTTTTCGAGAGTAATTACGAATCGTCTCGCACGTAGACTCGATGACTTGCAGCCTCCCGAACAGCTGAAGCTGAAGTGGCGATAGGCCGGCCATATAGCTCGAAGAACCGACAACCAATGTGAACGAAAGGTTCTCGAGTGGGAGCCTCGTACCGGTAGGGCGCAGTGTAGAGCAGCCTCCCACTAGATGGAGTGACGACAACCTGGTTAGACGAAGAAGAGGGATTCAGGTGACTCAGTACCGTGCTTTGTGACATTCCTTGGGGGAGGCCTATGTTCAGCAGTAGACTTGTGAAGGGTTGTAAAGATGATAATAATGATGATGATGATGGTAAATTATTACTGCAGGCCATGGACACTATCAACCAATTTCAAACAAATACGGCTACTTATACGTTATCATCTCTAAGGACCAATATGGAATGTCTTTAATTATACTGGTTCTCTATAATTTTTACATTGGAATGCAGCAGAAATAGGCAAAAGTGTCTCGATAGAAAAGAAGTCCTACCATCTAGTGAAGTAGATAAAGATATAACCTAGTGGCGTGCCCAGGGTCAGAGAACAGGGGAAGCAAAATTTTTTCGTCTTGTGTTGGCGACGTAAGTGGGGCGATCCCCCCTCATTTGTGTTCATAGGTTTCGTAACCTTTAGTCACAGATTAATTGCGTATTGCAATGCATTACATGTATGTTCGCATATATTTATTGGCGGAAAGTCGGGCTTTTTGGTTTGAATGATGGTGCTTCCACTGGATATAACTACGTAGTATGTTTATATTGTTTTTATATTTGGATATTGGATGATGTGATGCAAAGCCGGTCTACGGTCGTACGTGGAACTTTAAAAATAATTAAAACGCTAACCTTCCCCTTTTCCTCCGGTCCAGATCGAGAAGGAGATTGAGCGTCTGGCGATCCGCACGCAGAAGGAGCTGGTGCTGCTGCACCGCGAGGGCGGGCCGGTGCCGGCGGGCACGGTGCACTGGCTCAACATGCGCTCGTGGGTCAGCCAGCACCACCACGTGCGCTGCCCGCACCGCATGTTCACGCGCCGCAGCCAGTACCGCGTCGTGAGTACCCACCGCCCGCTACTGGGCTTGCTGCATCTGTACTACGATTTGGTTCACGTCGTCGTCATGTGTTTGAGATTGTATCTTATTAATATTCAGAGCCAACTATTTTTATTCCCGGTTTTTCTATCAAGAAATAATTATTTATTATATGTATGTGCTCAATAATTATAATATCCCATCTATTGATTTCGAGGATGTGTGACTTACAGAGCGAGCTGTACAGCAAAGTGCTGATGTCTGAAGCGAACGTGCATTCGGACTTCTCTCGGCTGGCGCGTTGGTTAACGGGCACGTCGGTGGGGCTCGTGCTGGGCGGCGGCGGGGCCCGCGGCGCCGCGCACGTCGGCATGATCCGCGCCATACAGGTACCCAGCTCGCACTCACCACTCCACCTGCAATACCAACATTCCAACCAATTACGTACATACCAACACGCCAACCAACGCCACTCGCACACATTCCAACCAACACACTAACCAACCAACACTGCATGCTGTGATGTTGCACGTGTAAGTATCTGAATCCGTTTGTATGATCATTAAGCATCCATCCACGCTACAATTATAGAAGGAACGACGTTTTGCCATTATCATTTATCAAATAGATAGATAATATTCATATATCATATTATACTTAAATGACATTAAAACTTTTTCAAATATTTTATCCTACCATTAAATATACTAAACACTAAACAAAAACAATTTTAACGAGTATTTCAATAAGTACCTATTAACTAAAAACTATTTACATAAACAGCGTTAAAAAACTAACATTCAATCGTCTAGAACGTGCTAGCCCCAACTGCGTTCTACCCAGCGGGCGCCTCGCGATTGTAGGTGATTATTTCACGCAGGTAGCAAGAGTGACAGAGGCCTGATCTAACCTCGATTAGAAATTAAAATATGCTTGGCATTTACTCCTGTTTGTTAAAGAAGGGATTTGAAAATTAAAATTTATTGTTAAAAGAATTTCATTTTATAGTTACCACTGAGAACTGAGATGGAATGCCTTGCGTTACAAGTAAAAAGGGCGGCTGTTTCTTGCCACTGATCATGCAGAATATAATAGTATAATGCTATATTACGCTGGTATTGTATGCAAGCGTGTTACTTCCCCGATTTTGACGACCCATGCGTGCTGCTACTATAACATGCTACAGTGTGTGCAAACAAAATGACTTATACATTTAAGAAATATAAATTTTAAAATTTTGGTACAAAATTATTAAATGTCAAAACTTTTCTAGCAATATCACCAAATTTCACTTTTTACTTATATGACCTTTCGAGCCGGATATTTTATTTTCTATTTGCAACAAATGTCAATTAAAAAAAATAAAGTAACATTTTTACCTTGCTATTTAAGTGTGACGATACAAGTGGTTCTTCTGTATTTTGTGCGTAATATGTAGACCGATTTATTTTGCAGGAAGCCGGCATTCCAATTGACATGGTGGGCGGTGTCAGCATCGGCGCTTTCATGGGAGCTTTGTGGTGCATGGAAAGAAACATTACCACGGTCACACAGAAGGCTAGAGATTGGTCTCAGGTAAGCACTCAACATATTACGATATATTTTATAAAGTACTACGAAAATTTTTTCTATAATATTTATTTAAAAGCTGTTGATTTAATGAAATATGTACAGTAGACTATAGATTAAACTCTTTCTTAAATTATTAAAATTCATAAACCTGAATCTTACGCTATTCAACTAAACTTTACACAAACTAAAAAAAATATAATTAAATTAGAATTATTAAAAAAAAAAACTCACTTCTAAGAGAATAAAAAAGAAACAAAGCGTATGTAGTAACTAATATAAAGCGTTAATTTACAAAGTTAAATCTTTGCTAAAACGCACCGTAATGTTAAAAACACGTTGTGTGGGCTTAGACCTCAAGTGTTAGACCTTAGTATGGTTACTACGGTTTGATTTACGGAACTTAGTACGGTTTGATTTTCTACCGTCTTCAAACAGGAGGAGGTACTCAATTCGACTGTATGTTTTTTTATGTGTTACCTCATAACTTTTTTCTGGGTGAACCGATTTCGATGATTCTTTTTTTTATTTGAAAACTGGTGCTTCACATGTGGTCCCATATAAATTTGATCAAGGTCTGACCAATAATTTTTGAGTTATTCTTAATAATTTATATTGAAGTCGGTTGTACAAAATTTTTAATTTAATTTAAAAATTTTAAATTATAAGTTTCTAATACGAATTTTTTAATATGTTTTAGAAAATGACCCAGTGGGGCAAACAACTTCTCGACCTAACGTACCCGTCCACATCAATGTTCTCCGGGAGACAATTCAATGCCACCATTCGTGGAACCTTCGGGGATGTGCACATCGAAGATCTGTGGCTTCCTTACTTCACTGTCACCACTGACATCAGCTCCAGTTGCATGCGAGTGCACCGCCATGGTAAGTATTTGATCTTCCGTTCAAGTATTGGAGAAAATCTCGACTGGACGTTTTATGTTCAGTATGTGAGATAGAGTATTTTGAACTTGGCGTTACGGAGAGTGGTGAAAACAATCAATGAAATATATAGAATGCTAATAATCTTCCGCTCACCAGATGTCGCTAGTTGGGACTGAGGTGAAGTTATTTGTCACACAGTGCCATGTTATTGAAAAGTTGCGTATCAAACAAAAGATTTTCGGTTGCTAGTGAATGTATGTACATTAAACAATGCCGTGCTCTTTAATTTTTGGCACATTGTTTAAATCTTTTTACATTCTTTTACTTTTAGGTATAGTGTTTTTAAGAGTTTTGTTTTAATCCATTTCTAATCTAATTAATGCAAAACATAACTAATATTTTAGAAAGAAACATTAATCTTTACGCTTTTCTAACAATTTTATTTCCCCGCCAAGAAATCTGTCACATATATCACTTTATTCCAAAATGGCGCCGCGCCGCCTTAGTTGCAGAAATAGTTGTAAAAGCCCTCATTGAAATACATTTTACGAGATTTAAAAACAACTGATCTATAAATGCTGCCTTGAAATCATAAATGATAAAATATATTTTGTTTTTATACTGTTTTTCGGCTACCAGTACTGGCCTATTATTCAGTTTCTTGATCAAAGATTAAATGAATCCCGTTGGTGTCGTAAGAGGAGACGGATGTAAACTGAACCAGGAGATGGGCAACAACATCTTCCTAATAACAGGTGAATTAAAAAAATTGCGCTTGCTCAGAGTGGCAACCATAGCAAATATGCTATATCTATGAGGTTATATATGGTGGAGGCCTTTGATCAGCTGAAAACTTTTGATGGGCTGTAATGAATGGAATGTATTAAATGAAAGAAAAGTCGAAAAATAAATGAATTCAAGGATTTCACTAAAAATAAAATAGGTACCTTAATTGATTGAAAATCATAAGAATAGTAAACGGATATCTCTTTCAGATAAATATATATGTAGGAACTATAATGGGTATAGTACAGAGACTGATTTTGTAGTTAAGAATAATAATTAATTCCTTTACACGAATTAATTATCCAACGAGTCGAGGATAAACCAGTAATGGAATACGACAAGCGCACCGTTCCACGTCAGAGCCAAGACTGCCTTAACGGCGGCCGCTCAGTCCGTTTTATACAAGCAGGACGGGCGGCCGCACAGGTGCAATGCCGCAGGTGTGCGGTACACCTGTTGTTTACAAGAATTCTGTCTAGCTAGACTGACGCCACCGCATCTACAACGGTGCAGGTGCCGTCATATACTTATCGATACTTAAGGTAAAGGTTTACTACTGAACGTAAGCCAAACTCATTATAAGTAGTATTTAATATGTGACTAAGTGATTTAAATTTTATATTATAATGTAACCAAATTTGCTGACCGTATTTAGACAAAATTGCCTATTCGCCACTCTCCTAAACACGCTTTATCAATATTGAAAATTGAATATTACAATAATTTACTAGTAGATTGCATTAAAAGGTATTAAGATTGTGAAGATTTATTTCAACCTTTTCTATTTCGTTTTATTAACTTTCTCCATTCGTAGAGTTAGATATTAACGCAACACATTCATGGACAGGAAATATTTATGTCTCTTATGATTTGGTGATAATTTCGCCGCTTCCATTGCACTTACTAATCCAAAACGGTTTTCGCTTCATAAAGAAATTTAAGAGGTTTTATACTTTCATTTCTATTTCATTCAGGTGATATTTGATAATCATGATTATTGATAATAAAAAAGTGGGGGGCCATTCGTTTATTAACATGGTTCGCATACTATGTCAAACATATCTAAATTATGCATGTCGTATTATGTAGCTTTTATAATATATTTATATATCTGCAGACCAGCTCTGGAAGTGCTTTTCGTTGAAACGAATATATTTGCCATTTCGATTTCGATTGCTGTTTAAAATCAATATTATTTGCGGAAAAGTCAGTACCATCATACGTTGATTGATAGCTATGGTGGTTCACGACACTGGTCAATCGGGACAAGTAGCAGTAGGAAGATTCAATACGTATTTTATTTCGTCCCATCGCACTTTGCCCATTTTGAGTTATGACATTCAATGTTTCGTTAGGGCTCGTGCGAGATTTATTTGTTTCACTTTGTTTTATTCCGCTACAGTGATTTTTTTGTTGACCCTCCCACAACCACACTCACTTGCATTTATGTATCCGTTTGTTTGTACACTGTGTCAAGTATTTAATCTCAAAGTATTCCTTGTTTACTTTAGACCGTTTTTATGTATAGTCATTTTTTATGATTTTTATACAAATAACATTGTTTTTTTTTAAATATCTTTCTAATCAATGTCTACGAATCCGACATTTGCTTTTGGGTGTTGCCATTCCTTACTTCATCTAAAGAAAAAAAGCAACTGTGCGCTTGTGATTGGTTTACCGAATAATGCTTAATAATTTTGTGAGATAATTTCAAATGTTATCTTTTATTATTTATGTAACGGTGCGTGTAAACAATGTCGGGTTGGAGTGAATAATATAAATGTTGTATCAATCCATTATCATTCGTATATCATTCACATGGCCTCCATCTACCTTCATGTATAAATTTGCATGAGTGTGGTTTTTAATTTTTCATATTTTTTTTTTCTTTTTTCCATTCCCATCACTGTAGTAACCATTGTAATAGAATAGTATATCTTACTTCAGAGACTATATTATTTTAAGGTCTATTAATGAGTGAATTGTTATCAAATACACGTTGAATTAGGATCCTTTCGTATAGAGAATGCATTAAAGGTTAAAAAGAAATAAATAACTAAATACACAGACGTTTAAATTCATCGGGTGTCTTTTTGTGATCTGTGTAAAATATAAGGAAATGTTTATAGTAGACCTTAAAATAACTCTTTCGACTGGTTTCATATTAGATAATAGTATTTTGGATAATAGTATGAAAATCATTAAATAAGCTGAAAATATCTCTTGAGATACCGTCATATACAATTTATCAAGCTATTTGATTTTTCAAACTATTTTGGTGTGTAGATTATTGTTTCTTTATTGTGATACATGTTTTATATAAATAATTCTATTAAATCTATACCTCTGGCTACGTTCTGAATATTCCAAAAATGGATGACACGCGGAAAGATTGATAAAGCAAATTTGTGCCGCTAAAGTGAATGGCAGAGTCGGCAAGGGACGACGGTAGTTTATCGACCGACGATATATTGAAGATGGGCCAAACTATTAAGAGTACCCTTAATCGACGAGCATGTATTCGTAGATATATGGATGTGAATGAAGCGAATGAAAGTTCGTAGTCTTTGCAAACTCCTCTGGATGACAGACGTGAGAGTACATGTATTAAATATGTATTTTTTTATAGGATAGCGTGACAAACGAGCACACAGTCCACCTGATGGTAATTGGTTACTGTGACCCATAGACATTTACATCTATCTTCGATTAAGAATCAAAATGCAGATGCATTGTCACCCGTGAGGACTAAGATGGAATGCTTCGTTTCCAGTAAAAAGGGTCTCCGGTTCTCTACACTCACCATACGAAACACAGCAGCGTTACGCTGCTATTTTACGCTGGTATTCTGTGAGAGCGTGGTCCTTCCCCGGTCTAGCCGACCCATTCGTGCTACAACTATACTACTAATATAGCTGCAGCATGGCTCTACTACGTATAAATGTATGATCGCCATAAGTCGTAGCAGAAGAACAAGGTCTGCAATAAAGGAGCTTCTTTTTGACTTTATATGAAAATAAATAGTGTAGACACAGAGTAATGACTATCCTCCTTATACTTTAGTATAGTCGTCTCAACATCGATCGGTCTACAGCTATTTTTGAGAATATTTAGCATTAATAATCTCGGATTTCACTAAACCTGCTAGACGATTTAGATTCTTCGCGATCACTTAAATTACATCTCAAGTTATCGTCTTCTAATAATTGAATTATTGATGGGCTAGCCACCTATCACTAATTGGTAGGTACTAATAATAGAATTTAGCATAGTGAGAACACTTCTGCAGCATCAATTTGCTTTGTTACTCTTTTCGCATTAATTATTTCAAACGTAGAGAAAAACCACCGAAACATTCCTTTTTTAATCCTGCTTACAACAATTTCTTGCAACCACACTTTTCTTTTAAATTTTGCTTATTGTAATTTCAATATGATCGCCATTAACCATAAATGAAACATATCCCAATCCGTACCTAAGGATTATTGATAGCCGGTCTCGGAATTTAAACACATCTGGTATAAATGCGAAATCGAAATACTAACATTCTATCCCGTAGATATCGTAAGACACGACTTTAGGCAATGCTACAAAAAACTTACGGCTTCTGATTGATGACGGTTTAACCATGTCGTTAACGTCAGACGTAAATAAAATAAACCCAGACCGCCGACTGACAACAACTTCAAAAGTGCGAGACGTTAAAAAAATGATATTAATAAGTTAAAAATTGGTCTATTCTAATTATTTTATCGCCGTACAATAAAATTAATTTTACACAATTACTTTGTTGTAAATTATACATACATAACATACATAAACACTCACGCCTGTCACCCAGAGCGGTAGGCAGAGACTATGGACTTCCATTTGGCACGATCCTGACACACCTCTCTCGCTTCCTCCACATCCATATATCTACGCATACACGCTCGTCGGTTAAAGGTACTCTTGATTTGGCCCATTTTCAATATATCGCCAATTTGGTCGATAAACTTTCGCCTAGAGCGTCCCTTTCCGACTCTGCCGTTCACCTCTGCAACATAAATTTTTTTGTCACTCTTTTCTCATTCATTCTTTCTACATGCCCAACCACATACCACCGAAGCATTCCCTTCTTAATCCTGGTCACAACATCATCTTGCAAGCCACACTCTGTCATTCAGATTCATCCCTAACATACTCCTTAATGACCGCATTTCTACAGCATTTAT